GTTTGCTCTTTTTGTTATCGTTCAGTGTTTAACAATGGAAGTCCAGCGGATAATTCTTCATATTGTTTCAAGCTTCGAAGCTTACGGGTTTCTAAACGCTTCTTGGACATATTTGAAGAGCAAGTTAAGTAATAAAAAAACCGACTGCTGATGACTTGGATCAGTGAAACCAGTATGCAATGGACTTAAGAATGAGTCTTGATCTTGGAAGAACCTATCAGGTGATAAAAAAACATCCTTGTCGCCCACGCCTTTATAGTTAGGCCCATAAGTTTTGTGTATATGTGAAAGAAACAAACCCTGCCTATGCCTATGGAGTCTGTTGATTTCTTTAGGTTAAGAATGAATATGATGAACGCCGGCGCGATATCAAACATGATGAAGGGAAACGTCAGGCCGCGGCCTGAGTACGCGACAGCAAAAACAGCGGTGTGGTGGGACATGAACGATTGTCCGGTTCCGATGGTTATGATGCTGGTCGGGTCCGTCCGAGTATACAAGGGGCGTTGAAGGATTTAGGCTAACAATGGTCCTGTGACCATCACTGGGACAAACCCCTGAGCAAGTCCTGCGAGGGCTCTCTTCCATTGGCGTCGCTGTTCAACACACCATTGAAGGTTAGTATCCTCCATCTCTGGATCCTTTTAAAGTCAGCCTATTGCTAAAAGTAAAAAAACTCATGTCCTTTACTGAAGCAGCTAAAAGATGCTCGCTCATGTTTGGGGATCTGCTGAATTGGGAACACCATAATCCTCCTCCAGCTACAATAATGCTTATATCCGATCATGTGGAAAACAACTTTTTCGCTATTTGCCGGACACGACAATGGAATGATGGATACAAACTTGTCAATATACATTCTTTTTGTTATAGACAGTTTTGAGTAACAATTATCTTTTTTCCAGGAGATTATTCTTAATCAGTCCATTCGTCCAAGCGCAGAGTACAAGGCAAGTTTTCTTAATGCTAATTGTAGTCTTTCAAGAGAAAAATAGAAAATCTGATTTTTCTCAGAAACACAGTTGAATGTGAAATACAAAGCATCAAATTGGTAAAAATAGAAGAAAAACTTCCAAGTTGTTTCTGTTTTTAAAATGCTTCTAGTTCTAGATGAGGTGGTTGGTTTTCATAGTTGGAGAGACCTTGAAAACACGTAATTGGAACATTTTATGCCATTTTAATCTTTTACGTCTCTAAACACTTTATACTCATGATTCATCATATGCATCTTGCAGGTAGAAAATTCTCCAAAGAGCAGACGTTTGAGGTAAGCATTTCGGACGGGTTTTCGCTTTGGTAATTATTCTCGTTGCATCTAAGTAGATACAATTGGATCACATCTCAAGAGAAGAAAAAGAAGATCCAAGAGGAATGTTGAAATAGGAAAAATCTAGCAGATTATTATTATTACTGTTAGAACAGAATTTTTTTCCCTGGTTCTTATATTAATAATACCAAAATCAGGGGAAAAGAAATTCAATTAGAAAAGAAATGTTGTTATGACTTTATATTTGCTTATTATGATTCTTTCTTTGTCTTTTGGTTTTAATCTTTAAAGATGATGATTATTATTATCTCTGTATCATCATCTTGAAATAAGTTGAAGTTGTTGGTATATGAGATCAGATTGTTTCTTCAAACTTTTCATTTAGCAGAATTTCGTTGGTGTTATTACAGGACCAACGAAAGATCTCTTACAAACCAAACAATGTCTCGAGTTCCTTCGAGTTTAGTGTTTTTACTCAATGGATTTGCGAAAAACTCTCTACTGTAGAATCAACTCATTTCACACATTGCTAAGAATAATAATAACAAACTCGAAAAGATATACATGTCATTGGATTATACAGATACCACAATATTTTCTTTTAGAATTTCCTGCATTTTCTCCGTCCTCTGATGCACTGCTAATCAATTCCACAAAAACGCAGGTTAGAGCTAACCAAAGCTAAAATCAAATCCATTTTACAAAAATTAAAACTTTATATACAAAAATTGGAACTTTTTAGTCTTATAACAATTGTATTCTATATATTATAACAAAATTCTATGTAGGTACTTTATAATCAAAACATGAGTCACATGGCATTACTTTTAGAAACAAAATTTCATGAAGTATGTATATCAGTATATGATGATGGAAAACAAAACCAATACATATGAATATATATGCATAGATTATTACCTAAGCTCAAACTCTTGAATATGAGCAATATCTTGGCCATGAGCATCAGGCCAGCTTACTTTCCTCTGTTCCAACTCCGATCCTTTGTCCGACTCATTCTTGATCTTGAGGTTGCTTTTGAGACGGCAAGGCTCGCTTGATACGGCGGTGCAGCTTCTTCCGCCGTGTCTCTTAGGCGGATGATGTTGTTTTCGCCACCGTAT